ATTATTCAAATTATTTTAATTTATATTTTAAATTATATACATACATATCCAGCCCTAACCACCAAAACGACGTAAGCGACATTATTTTAAAAATTTTTCTTTTGATGCAGAAATAATCCTAGAGCATTAAGATGTATTTCCGCATTAAAAATAAAATTTTGAAAAAAAAAATACCGCTTACGTAGTTTTGGCGGTTGGGGCTCGATATATATATAGTATGTAGTGAAAATTTTGCTTTGCTAAAAAAAAATAAAAAATGGCAGAAATTAATAAAAAAAACTTTGTGGACAAATTTTCACTTTTAGAAGGAGTTATACAATATATTTTTTAAATTATTTGAATTTATTTTTAGATATTTTTTTATGCATACATACATTGTATTTCATTCAAATTCCAAATTATACTCTAAATTACGAATCGTTGAAATTTTGCTGTCCAAAGGGCCACAGTTGCTGAGACACTAAGTGAACACTTTAGATGTTAGTTGGCTGATTAAAGATAATTCCTTTAAGACTCGTTTCACCTACTAAAGAACATTGCTATGTATTGTAAGTACATACATATGTGTGAGTCTTCAATTTTCATTCTGAATTTAAATTTTTTACTTTAAATTGTGCCACTTTGAGCCTACTAAGTTTACTGATCTCACAGTTTTCATTTGCTAGGCGCGCCCTAAGAACGTGTTTTTTAATGCAACATTTTATTACCCTCATCTTTATTACCACTTGCACTCTTTCACCTTGTCAGACAGTGAGTGCCGGCTTTTATATATTTTTCAAGTTTTTTTTTGTAGGCAGATCTCGTTCTATACATACATACATATGTATGCACGGACATACATACATACTCAGGTACAGACATATCGAACCCTAACCACAAAAAGATGTAAGCGAAATTTTTTCAAAATTTTATTTTTGATGCAGAAATGCATCTAAAAGCTTTAAAGAGTTCTGCATCAAAAAGAAAATTTTGAAAAAAATTTCGCTTACATCTTTTTGGCGGTTAGGGCTCGATATAAAGTTGTTTATTTTTGATAGTTTTTTTTACATAAATCAACACTGGTCTCCGTACGCTCTTTTCGGTTTATAACTTATTCTCTGCGCTCTGCACTATATGTAGTTATGTACGTGCGAGTTTGTATGTGTATATGAATCCACCGCACGACCCGGCATTTATAACTATTACTACCATTTATTATGTCGGCTTTTGAACACTTCATAAGTACCTACATACATGTATCTACAATCAGCGTTGCCACTTGAGAATATTTTTAGGTACAAAAACACCTACCAAATTAGTTTCCAAACTACCAAAAATTTTTTCATCATTAAAACGAGATTTCTTGATTTTACGGACTTTTTTGCTACACAAAAAATATCAAATAATTACGGTATTGGTTGACAATTCATACCAAACTTTGAAAAAAACAAATTCAGACATTTTATCTATTTAAATTAGTGTTGTACTAACTTGAGGTTAACATGCTCAGAAAATATATTTCAATTAGCAAACACTCACCCTTTTTCACCAAGTGTGAGTGTCACATTTTGCAAATTGTCTAGCAGAATTTTTTCATTAAATTTTTGTTAAAATTCAACAGCTGATCGATCATAGCTTTGGGATGTGAGTTATTGTTTGCAGAAAATTAATAAAATCAATTTGAACGTGGAAGGGCAACTAAATCCAGCAAGCAGACAAACGCAAATTTTGCCGGCGGTGCTGTCTCGCACAATTTTCCGTATCCGGAAACGAACAAGAAACAACTACAGTTTTCATTCAGTTTCATATCCGAAAACCGGTTCAAAAATGATGATGTTATTTGAATACAATACATAATTGTATTTTATTGGTTCAAGCTGAACATTTGAAAGCATTTATCGTCGGCAGTGTCTAAGCGTGCAGAGGAGCTTGCTAGTATTTGTTAGCTTTCAGAAGGTGCCGGGTTCGATGCCGTCAGGCGCTTCCATAACTTTTTTTTCGAACAACGAAAAAGCATGCGTGAAGTGCAGAACGTATCCGTTTCAAAACAACTTTCGGCGCGAGTCTGTACTTACGTTTCTGTCGCATACTTTACTACTGCCATCCCTAAATTGGCGCGGCAAGCGTCAAAGAACTGTCAAAAATCTTCATGTCCATACAATTTGTATGAATCATCCTACAATAACGCAGCGCTAGCGCCAAGCAAATGAAATTTTAATTTTTGACAGGGCGTTACGTGTTGAAGTTAGATGCAGAAGACGGAAAGAAAGGGAGAGGAAAAAAAGTGGGGGAAAGAGAATAAAAACGAGAGGAAATGAGAAAACGGTAAAAATTACGCCGCGTTGGTTTGTGCATAGCGCGCTCTGGCACTCGTTTTCATTGGATAACGCAACGCTTAGCGCAGGAATTTAGGGACGGCCATTAGTTTTCCTTTTTCGAAAGCACTTTCGTATTTTTTGCTGGCTTGGAAGCGAACAAATTTTAGTGCTCAATTTGGTTGCATTTTCAAAACATTTTTGCCTTCCAAAAGCTTCATCAAACCAACTAAAATACCAAAGGAAAATGAAGCTTTCAATTTTGGTCCAATTGGACCAAAACGGCAAGGCTGTCTACCTTGTGCATGGAAGTGTAAAGTATCTCAATCTCATGCGCTCACTTGCCACCACACAAACACAGATGCATACTTAACAAAACCCAACCTTACATTTATTACGAGCTCATACAAGCATATCGGCGGCGCTTCAAATACGAGTATTAGCGACTTTTTGAGCGGCGCATGAAATCATTTCCAGTTGAGACATCGTCGGTAACGAGTGTGAATTTTGAATTCCTCAAAAATTAAAGTGTAATTTCTGTGTCGCCAACGCGGAAGACGAAGGAAATAAAAGCATAGAATAAAAAAAAAACACACACACACTTTGATGACGTAGTGAGAAATTTAAGCCAAAGCTGGAATTAAAACAGCACAAAGTCTTAGAGACAAAGTACAAAGAAGAAAAAAAGCTGTAAACCATAAAAGGAAAACTATTAAAAAAAAATAATTCATTAGTATGCTGCAAGAAAACATTTGTGGAAAATAATATATCGCCGCCAGCTTGAAACGCTGTCGTCATTCTGACCATACATAGATATATACACGCACATACACACCTGTATATTTGTGCTTGAACGCACACCTAATTTTTTATATCTATAAAATATAGCAAAACGGCAACATTTGTTGTCGCAGTGAATTGTGTAAAGTGTTTTTCCAACATTTGAAATTGCGAAATTACTTAGTTTGCGTAAAACAGTGACAACGTGTCGAAGTGACTGTGACAACTGCCGCAAAAAAACGTGTTGAAAAATCAATTGCGAACCTCAAAAGCATTTTCGCTGCTTTTTGTTTGTGTTGAAGTTTGCTAGAGGTGAGCCTGCATAGAAATTTTCAACATTTCCTCTACTTTTTATGTAAAAACTTGTTACCAATTGCCATAGAGCTGCAAGCATGCAAAGTCTGCCAGGTAGTCTCATCTCTCAGTCGCCCACAAATATGCAAAAAAGCATCCTTCGGCTGAAATTTTGTTCATTGTTTAATTACGTGGCACGCGTTATGCCTTATGCCGACTCCAGCCGAGCATTGTTGGTGGTGCCCACGTAGCAATGGGTTGCCCTTTTTTTGCTGTGTATGACCAATAAGGCGATTTTACTTGTGGCAACGTGTCTAAGCAGAAGTGAAGACATAAAAACGTTTTAGAAAGCTTATTTTAAAAGAAAGGATTAGTTCCTTTTAAAGAATGCAAAAAAATTGAAAAAAAATTAAAATGAAATAAAAAAAAATGTCTTCAATCCAAAATTCAATTGCGAGAAGTTCGCAGCCCTGCAGGACCTTTACAAGTTTTACAAAATTTTGAATAGGAAACCTCAGCAAATCTGGCAAATTTTTTTTATTAAAAGTTGTTCATAAACCAACCACACTCTGCTATTATTATTACTTTAAAACATCTCTATATTTATATGTACATATATTCCTTTTAAAGGATCAACATCTCTTTATCACCATAAATTACAAAAGTACACACAAATTTATTGTAAAACATATGTTTTCATTTCTCTTTATTTATTAAATATTTTTCTCTCTCTTTTATTCCACACCTCACCCTCAAAACGCGCACACACACACACACCTTTACACCTACTCACACAAACACACCCACAGAGTCAAACGAGTGACATCACACTCGCCAATCAGCAAGCACAAGGACTTATACGTCAAGCGGACGCTCGTAATCGTCAGCTGATTGAACAGGATAACGCTGCATTGAATCGTTTGTGGAACGAATTGATTAAAGGTTTGGAGACACGTCGCGATTCGTTGCAAAGTATTGCCGAACGTTGGGACGATTTTGAGAATCGCTTGCATAGCTGGGAGAAGGCAATTAGCCGTTTGGAAGATAAATTCCGCAATGTCGACCCAGTAGTTAGGTCGCGTCGTCATTTGGAAGATACGAAGAATGCCATCCAGGTGAGTGTTTGTTAATAAGTGTTTACATATGTACATATGTTAATTTTGGGTAACAAATCAAGCATGGATTGAATAAATTAATTATGACAGTCTTATGAAGAAAGCCATGGGTGCTTAGAGTAGAATTTGTATTAACATAAATGAACGAAATGAGAAACATTTGAAAATAATACATACTTGGAATTTAAACTAGAAAAACTTAGCTACACGGTCAAAAATTTGGGTTTAATTTTTAAACCGAGCTGGGACTACTGCCTTTTTTAATCTTTTATAGTCTACTTTTTAAACCAGTCAATAGTTTTAAGCAATTTTTAATATATTCTGGTTTAAATTTTAGTCCAAAAAGTTCGTGGTTTAAAAATCAAACCAAAATGTTTTAATTCTAGTTTCTAGGTTTCATATATAGAAAATTTGGTTTAAAATCTTAACCGAAATAGAAAATGTTTGCACAGCGAAATGTGGTGTTAATTCAAACTCAACATATGAAAGCGCATTTATATGCGTGGCTGTAGCTGAGTGTGCAAAGATGCTTGATACAATTGGTTGCTACCAAGGCTGTCCGGGTTCAACACCAACCAGACGGAGCATGAAATTTAAGAATTTTTATTTTTTATTCTTAATTAAATATGGAAATGTTTGGGTTTAAAATTTAAACCGAACTGTTTAAATTCTAAACCCAACATATGTGCTCTCTTTTTTTAAACTTGGAAGGTTTGTATTTGAAACTGAATTTAGTTTGGTCATATATGTAGTCCAAAAAGTTTAAAATTAAAACCGAAATTTTTAACCGTGTATGAGTACAAAAATTGAGAGAACCAAATTTTTAAAATCGTAAAATCGTGATCCTTTTTGTATTACTTTCCCAGCTTCTCTCTGTGATAAATTTTAATTTAAAATTTCATAAAATATTTAGTTTTTGAAAATTTATTGTTAAAAAAATTTAGATTTAGTAAACTTGTGTCTATATACTTGCTTGTATATTTAAAGCGATAGCCGTTTTTGATATATAAATTCCAGTCAGGGCTGTTCGAAAGCTGATAATTATTGCAAACTATCACAAATTATCAGGGTTTGGCGTTCGCGTACGCAAACAACTAGCAAAGTAGGGGAAATTGAGAGCGCCAAGTGACAGCTGACTTGGAGGGGAAGTTGCTAATTCCTGCTGGAAAAAATTTTTTGCCTGCAGCAATTTGCCATCAAGAAAAACAGCTGATCAAAGTCATCTGTTTGCGAATTATGAAATTAGTGAAATTTATTTTGATTATATATAAGAGGAGAAGCTCGGCCAAACACACATACATATGTGTAAGCGCCAATCTATTATTATTATTATTATTATTATTATATTTAAGTTTAAAAAACCTTATTAGAACTGCAAATGTTTCGGAAGAAAGCAAACACTCATTTACTTATGTTTGCTTGGCAAATTGCTTTTGGCAAACTTTTAATTTATACTCTTTTCATGTATGTATGTATACAAAAATTGGATCAGCTGTACTAGCAACTTGCAAATTTTTGCTAATTTATTTTCAAATTTGAGAGATAATCACTCGTTACTCTCCTGCAAGTTTGTGCTGGATATTTTCACTGGAGATCTATTCGAACAGACTAAATATATTATCTATCGCCGCGCAGTGGTATCGCCTTATAGATTTTTTGGAAAAAACTAGGAGTTTGCGTACGGCATTAATTTTTCGTATGTAACATTTGTGGAAATTTCGTCCATTCGTTTGTAATATGTACTACTACCCTGCAGTGAAAACCCAAACCAGTTAGAAAAAATACTAGTTCATAAACTAGTATGTGCTTACCAGTTCGACATTTTCGAAGAACTTAAGCGTTCAGCGACATCTGCCTTTGAACTGCCAAAGCCTAAAATAAAACGCATTTAATTGCTTTTCTTACAAATGTCTGCTGTGGCGTCACGTGAAGACTACTGGTTCTGGTTCTGGGATCGCAGGTTCGAGACCGCTTGGAGGTGGCTAAGATTTTTAAAGTTAGATCAATGTAAGTAGGAATAATTATTTCAATTTAAATATAAATAACAAACTTAAAAATCTAGTTGCATTACAAAAAAAAGAAACAAATATATGGGAAGAAATACTTGTGCCATAAAAAAATGGGCTAAAAAAATATATATTTTTTTTTAAATCAAATTTAAGAATAACAAAAAAACCCTAAATATAAATAAAAGAAATATTATAAAAAAAAAAATAAAATAAAAAAATTTTCCTTGCGCCCGGGGCTTGAACCTGGTACCTCAGGCATACCACGCGAGTGCTTTGCTCTGTCGGCCATTGCAACTGTTGGAGCGCCGCGAACAAAAAGGCATGCTAATGCTTTTCATAGGCAATGGATTGGCAGACTATCTCATCAACTGGTATGAAGCTACTAGTATTTCTACTAGTAGATGCTGATGCATAGCCTGAAAATTGACATCTCGTAGGACATCGCAATGTTAAAAATACCAGTCGCTAACATTGAAGAAGGATAGAACGTGAACTAGTTGGGCTGAAACGCAAACTGGTAGAATTCTAGTTCACAACTAGTAGCTTTCCCTGCAGGGTATAAGTAAGCACTCTAAAAATTGGCGTGATCGGCTAATTTTAAATCATACCTGCCATATAAACCTAACCTCAAAATCGGCTTAAATGCCATAAAAACCCACCGATTAGCATATGACTCCGAAATTCCGTCCATACGTTTGTAATACTACTACAAGTGAACGCTCTAAAAATGGGCGTGATCGGTTTATTTTAAAGTATATCTCTTATACAAACCTAACCTCAAAATCGCCTTAAAAATTCCATAAAAAGCGAACCGCTGACAATATGAGAAATAACCAGTGGCAGCTGGAAATGATTTAGAGTGAAAGAGTAGCTATTAATTATTATTAATTATGTTGGTAGTAGTCTCTGACTGTAGGCAAATGTAGCTTGACTTGCAGGTCTAAGAATAAAAAATATGATTTTTTTCTACTTTCGTAAAATTAGTTAGTAATTGATAACCAAATTCTTCACAGTCTTTGTCATCTTAAAGAAAAATAAAAAATTTGAAGTCGGCTCAAGCAAAAGAAAACAAATCACCCTTGACTTTGAAATTTTTGAATACGATTAAATACCTAATATAAATAATTACAGTGAAACCTGTCACAGCTGGAAACACAAGAGATTCGAATTTTCGCCCATCTTAGATAGGTGTCCGGATAGAAAGGTTAAGAGGAAAACGATTTTTAATAGTACGGGATTTAATTTCATTAAACTCGTATTTATGTGTCCAAGTAGCCTCATGAATAGTTCTTATTTTCTCCATCCATAATTTCCACCAGATATTTCAAATGACCTAAACTTTCCTCATTTAAACCAAAAAAAGAAACAAAAAAAACCAGAAAGAATCAAATTTATATTTTCTGTAATCTGCTTACTGATCAGCCGTGCAGTCATAAATTAAAAAGAAAGAAACTAAGCCCTTAATTTATGCCTTCATGCTTTTGCTTCAATTTTAGTTTAGACTTTTCTAAAATTCTTAAGCTTACAATTACTTTTTGTTGCACCATTCATGTGCTTTCTCCCGTCTCAATGACGCTGAGTTGAGATAGTAATGAAAGTTTCTTTTTTAAAAATAGAATCAAGGTAGAAAAAGGGGAAAAGTGGAAAATAATTATGAGTAGATACATAGCTACAGTAGATGAAAATCATATTGAGCGGTGACGTACTTATTGTATAAGCAGGTAATTAAGTGATTGTAGAAACTTTGTGCGCACAGTTAAAATACTTTGCATTAACAATGAAGAAAATTTTTAGCCAAATCACGCGCTTGGTTTAGCTGCTTTCTAGAATTTGGTGTGCAGCAACAAAACTGTAAACAGAGAAAACAAATATGTAAAATCACGGTTTGTGATTTACGTTTTGGAGATGAGATGCTATCGATACTAACGGCTCTATTCTGTATCAGTGAGAAATTTTTGTCACAGTTTTTTTTTTTACGGAAATATATATGAGAAATTTTAAATTTGTCAGCTACAAAATTTGTGTCACCGAGACAGATAAGTATTTAACATGTTTAAAGTAACAGGGCAATTCTGGCTAAGACAGTTGTTGAAAGACAGTAGGCAAGATAGTTTAAAAGATTTGGTTTATTCTGACATGAAAATGTTACAAAAAAGCGGACTTGCCAACTTTCATGGTCAAAAGCTTTTTGACAGAAAGCACTTGAATATCATTTTACTCGTGCTCCTCCAAGGGCAATGGCTGATTGACCAAAGTACTGGCTTGCCATTCTCGAGATGCGAGTTCGAGCCCTTGTGCAGGAGAATTTGTTTTTACTTTTTTAAATTGAAGTCCTTTTTAAGTTTTTAACGTTCAACGTCTCTGGGGAAGGGGAATGAAAATAGAGATAGAGAGAAAGACACAGGATAGACAAAGAAATCATAAAGAAAATACAAAGCTAAAGGTCAATACTAAAATGATGATAATGACAAATAATACGATGAAGGTAAAAACAAAAGCAAAGATTGAAACTTAGCTAGAGGTAAAGATAAAGATCAAAACAAAGATACAGTTAAGGATAAATATAAAGATAAATATAAAGACGGAGATAAAGATAAAATGTAAATATGAAGATAAAGACAAAGATAGAAATATAGAACGAAAAGGAAAGAGATAATGATAAAAATATAGATATAGATATAGTATAAAATATGAAGACAGAGATAAAGAGACAGATACAGATAAAAATAAAGATAAAGATATGGATAAAGATACCCACATAGATAAAGGAAAAGCTAAAGATAAAGATAAAAAAGATGACAATAAAGATGAACATGAACTTGAAGATAAAAGATAAAAATAAGATTACAGATAAAGACAAACGGCAAAGGCAAAGATATAAACACAGGCATAGATATAGATAAAAACAAAGCCAATGACTTATGCCAAGGTTGGGTAAATGTCTCTTTACTTTATCTTTACAGTACAGTATGGTTCTTTTTTTGTTATTGA